CCCAAATGCCATCCAGAGGGTGGGGGGAGGACACAGGCTGGAGCAACACTGAGGAGTGGGAAGGAAACTGTGAACTGGTCTCCATTTGGGCTGGAGGGTCTGGGCTGGGGGCTCCTGCCCTCTAAAGAGCCCTCTGCCAGTCCAGAGATGCTCCCACCAGGGACTAATTTCACCCCTTGAAGAGAATGCCAGCTCTATTTAGAGCTGCTGTTCCTCCACACAGGGTTTGGGTGTCTGGCAGACCTTGGCAGCTGTCTTGGTGTTTAGCACGGGAGTCCTAATTTATTTTTCCCCTGAAACCACACAAACCTGAACAAATCCTCTCCTTTGTCCCCTGTCAGAGCTCTGTGTCCCTGGGAGTTCATCCCCTGTCACTGGAGATCACTGTGACACAGGAGAGTGGAGCCACCAGCACCTCCAGGGCACGGGGGGGACCATCAGTGTTGGCTTTCCTTGGCCAGAGACACGGGGAGCTGCTGTCAGCTCCCTTCTGACACACTCCACCTCTCCTGGCAGAGCCTGAGCTGCTCAGCAGAACTGAGTGAGGCCTGAAAGCCCTTCCAGCCACCATCCTGGCTGGCAGGAGCTGTCCAGCCCACTTCCCAGTGCCAGGAGAGGCCCTTCCCTCTGGGCAGCCCTTGAGCTGCCTCAGGCTCTGACTTTGCTCTCAGTTCACCTGAAGGAAACGGGAGAATTCCCTTTTTGCTCTGGGATGAATGAGCTGCCTCTCTGTGCTGCAGGTTTTGGGCAGGCAGGGCTTGCAGAGGAGGGTGGTGGAACAAATTCTGCTTCAGGTCCCTCCTGCAGGAAGCTCCGGCAGATCAAAAGCTGCCTTTGTTCCTAAAATTCATGCCCTGATTCCAGGGATCTGCTGGGCAAGTGCAGGTGAAAATAATTTCCATCTCATGGTCAGATGCACACAGATAAGGCAAAAGGCCCTGAGCTTTGGTGAGAGAAGTGTTTCTGGAGTGGATGATGGGGGAGAATTTCCTGTGTGAGTGAAAAGCAGGAATTGGGAACTTTTCTCTCCCTCATTGGGGAAAAACCTCCCTGGGGTGACTTAACAGAGCAAAGGAGGAACCAAGGTGGGCTTGTGATCCAGGTACTGGTGGCACATCAAAGAAGGGCCTTTGTAAGTGAGACAGCAGCTCATGAGTTCCTAGGGTGGTTTTGATCCTTTTTAAGCAGGATTCCAGGGCACAGTAGGCAGGTTTGAGGAATCTGTGCCTCCTTCCCATGTGTCCCATGTCCCTCAGAGCACGAGGAAGGGGAGGAGTTCCCTGCTCCTGCAGGGAATGCTGAAAATTGACCCTTCGTGGTGGGGGAGGGACAAGAGGAGTCACCCCCACAGTGGGCACAACACGGGTGAGGGCACTTTCTGCTTTCCCAGGAAAGGGGGAGGAGATCACAGAACCTTTGGGGTCAGTCTTCTCTCCTGGATAACAAGTGACAGGACGAGTGGAAATGGCCTCAAGTTGTGCCAGGGGAGGGTCAGGTCGGATATTAGGAAAAATTCCTCCATGGAAAGAGCTGTCCAGCCCTGGCACAGGGTGGAGTCCCCATCCCTGGGGGGATTTCAAAGCCCTGTGGATGTGGCACTTGGGGACAGGGGGCGGTGGTGGCCTTGGCAGTGCTGGGGGATGGTTGGACTTGGTGATCTGAGAGGGCTTTTCCACCTTTAATAATCCTTATCCACTGTCCCCCTGAATCATTCCTCTAAAGGCTTCTCCATGGCAGATCCACCTGGGATTGCAGTGCAAGCAGCAGCTCTGCTTCTCTGCCTTTTCTTTTCACTGTGGAGGTGGTTTAGGGCCCTGAATTTGTATTTACAGAATCACAGAATGGTTTGGGTTGGAAGGCACCTTGAAGATCATCTAGTTCCAACCCCTCCACCAGAAAACTGAGTTTAAAGCAAATATCTTTCTCCTGGGGTGTTTTGAAGCTTTTTCTCTGATGGCTGCAGGTCCCAGGATGAGTCAGAAAACGAGGGATGGGGAAATCCTGCTGGGTTTGTAAATGACTTGGAGGAAAAGGTGCAGCCAAGAGACACATCAGAGCCTGGGGATGCTGGAGCTGAAGTTCCTTTTGTTCTCTAATGGCAGAGAGAGCTGCCAGTCTTGGCTGTGCTGCAAGGCTCGCTCTCTGTAATTAAAAATCAATTAGTGTGTTTAGCAATTAGCTCATTGACTTACTAAAGCTGTCATGTTAGATTCATATCCAGACACGCCTCGGGACTGGGGGTGTTGGTGACAATGCCAGCGGTGCCTTCCCTGCTCCTGCACGTTGGGATGAAGGGAAGAGAGGGAGGCTGTTGGGAATTTGGCACATTCCCGATGCTCCGGGCCTGGGGATCCTCCAGGGATCAAGCAGGGGTGGGAAAGCTTTCCTGGGAACACATTTTGGCAAGTTCTCCATGTGTAGGACTTGCTCTCTGAGGCTCAGGGTTGAGGAATAGTGGAGAGTGATCCCAACATCAGTGAGAGAGTTACAGTCAGTGCAGTTTGACTGTGCTTGAACAAGGGACAGGAGGAGAGGGAACGGCCTCCAGCTGGGCCAGGGGAGGCTCAGGTGGCACATCAGGAGGAATTTCTCCCTGGAAAAGGGTGGTGAGGCCTTGGCAGGGGCTGCCCAGGGAAGTTTGGAGTCCCCATCCCTGAAGGGATTTCCAAGCCCTGTGGATGTGGCCCTTGGGGACATGGGGTCAGTGATGGCCTTGGCAGGGCTGAAGGAGAACAGTTGGACTCGACCTTGGAGGGCTTTTCCAACCTAAACAATTCTGGGATTCCATGATTTCTGTCTCATTTATTCCAGGATCCTTGTGCAGCAGGAACCATCCCCTGGGCAGTCACATTCCCAGCACTGAGTGTTTCCCTGCTCCCAGTTCCATCCTCTCAATAGGAATAAAAAGCTGTCTGGTGCCAAGGACCCCCTTGTTTCCTGCCCAGAGGTGAGGTCAGGCTCAATCCTGAGTTGGTATTTACAAAGCCAGCTTTAAAGCCAGCTTTTAAGCCAGCCTAGGTGATTTTCTTTGCTGCAGCTCTAACAGGTCCTAAAAAAAAATAAAAATGTCCATGGTTTTGTAACTGGCTGTAGAATGGGAACTGGGAACAGCTTTTGCAGCCTCTATTATTTGTGAAACATCCTGGATTCCAGCCCTTTCCTGGGAATCTTGCAGTTCAGGCTGTTAATGAAGAGGGTGTGCAGGAAGGTAAAATGGGATGGCAGTGGCTTTGCAGAGCCAAGCCTTTGTTTAGTCCAGAAAACTTAACTTCCCATCAGGGTTTGTTGATGGGAATTGGAGAAAATCCAGAGGAAGAGGCACGAGCAGATAATCCAGACCCTGTTTCAAAAGGTGGGTTGGGACTATGAGACTGGAAACCTGGAGGTGTGTTCAGGGAGAAGGACTCAGGTGACAGATATTGCTGGTGACATTGTCTGGAGCTCCAGCTCTGCAGTTCCAGATGGTGCTAAAGGCAGGAAAAAACCCTCCTGTAAAACCTCAGCTGCCTGGGAAAAGAACTGGGGAAGCTTTAGGGGTTTTGCAGACCTAAAACTGGGGCTTTTGCTTGCCCTTGATGACAAAAATTGAGCAGCTCCAGCGCCAGTGGGAAGGATTGATGGATCTGGGGGTGCTTCCAGGCTGGACAGTTCTGCCTTATTAATAGCAAGGGATGTGATAAACCCTTCTAATTGTCCTCCTAAATCCCCTGGGATACATTTCTCCTTGGAAAGAGCGGGCTGGGGTTGTTTGGTGACGTGGGAGCCAGAGCTGTGTGGGATCTGTCGGGGAGTTGCTCAGCCTGGACCCCAAGGAAGTCCCAAATGTCTTCGATCCTTGTGTCAGTTAAAAACCTCTAAGGTGGAAAAAATACACCAGGAAGATGAGCATAAAGGGAATGTGGGCAGGTTTGTGAAGGTCATTAGGTGCCTAAAGGTGCAGGGAGGTATTTCTGGAACAACCTGAGTCCCAAAAGTCTCAGCAAAGAAGAAATAAGGGAGAGTTGAGAATATGAATAAGGAGCTCTGAGGGAACAAGTTAGAGAGGGGCTGGAGGCAGGTGAGGAGGTGGAGATTTATCAAGCAGGACTGGTATTCAGGAGCATTAAATTCTTCAGCAAGTGCTGAGACCCAGGGTCAGGTCTCCAACAGGGATGGGAGTCCAGTGTCCTGGGAGCAAAACACTCCCTGAGGTACCAAGGGGACAGAGCCAGGCTGGGACAGGGCTGGCACAGGGGCAGGGGAGGAGCTGGCAGCATTTCTGGGAATGGCTGGCAAGGGAAGGACAAGAGGCAGCCAGGTCAACAAGGAACAGGACTGTAAAGAGAGGATTTGTGAGACAACTGGAATTTCAAATTAAAATCATAAATAAAAATCAAAGAGAAAAGTTCTGTCTTCATAAACGCCCAGACTGGTTTGGGTGGGAAGGGACCTTAAAGCCCATCCAGTGCCACCCCTGCCATGGGCAGGGACACCTTCCACCAGCCCAGGCTGCTCCAACCTGGCCTTGGACACTCCCAGGGATCCAGGGGCAGCCACAGCTTCTCTGGGCAACCTGTGCCAGGGCCTCCCCACCCTCCCAGCCAGCAATTCCTTCCCAAGATCCCATCTAAACCAGTTTGAAGCCATTCCCTGTGTCCTGTCCCTCCATCCCTTGTCCCCAGTCCCTCTCCAGCTCTCCTGGAGCCCCTTTAGGCCCTGCAAGGGGCTCTCAGCTCTCCCTGGAGCCTTCTCTTCTCCAGGGGAATCCCCCAGCTCTCCCAGCCTGGCTCCAGCCCTTGATGGATTCCCAGTGATGGGAATACCCATAATGGGTGTTCCCCCATCCCAGGGCTGTAAATCTGTGGCTCCAAGGATTGTCCAAACAGCAGTTTCTTCATCATCAGTTAATTTTGTGCCTTGAAATCATATGACAAGTCTGTAAAGCAGACAGACATTTCTAGTTTATGCCACTTCATGCATGACACAGCATCTTACAATCAATTATTCCCTTCTGTCCTCAGATCCCAGTATCCTAAAGGACATTTAACATTATAACTGTGATCGAGGAGGAACCGAAATATTTCTTCAAGACACCTGAGCTCCTGCAGCACTGAGAGCTTTGGGAGCTGACCCTGCCACAGGTGAGTGATTTTTTTCCCCTCCTCCCCATCCTGCTGACATCCAGGGCCTGCTGCCAAATGCACTTTCCGTGTTTGGTGCTTCATCACCACAGGAAACGCTCTTAAAAATTTATAAGTGCATGTTGCACAAGCCCCAGTGTTTCAAGAGCAGGGACTCTGTGCCTTGGCTCCCTGTTCTGCCACCCAGAATAGAAAAATGCATTAAGGGCTGGTTCAGGTTTTCACTGTTTCCTCTGTGGTTGTTTTACAACCTGCTGGAGCTGCTGAATTGTGTCATAAATTGGGGAGTTTAAAGGTTGTCTCCCAGAAGTAACCAATTATCCCATTTGCAGCTGTCTGTTTGCAGGGTGATCTCTGCTGCAGGAGCTGGAGATCACAGCCCTGGGTGGCAGCACAGCAACTATAAATTACAGCTGAAAACATTCTTTTTAAAACGTGGCTACGGGAGGATCTGCCTTTCCTCTCCCCCCTGGGTGGTCGTTTCCATTTGGAAATATTGCCCTTGTGGGAACTTTTCCTCACGGGTTTGATGCCAAACCTTGGTACTTGACCACAACCCTGCCCCTCAAACCGCTGAAAACCCCTCCAAAAAACCCTTTTCAGGTCTGCAATATCTCCACAAATCAACGTTTTGGAGTTCTCAGCCTTGCAAGGATCTGCACAGTTATTATCCTTAGGTGGGAGAATTTTCTGGGGTTTTTCCAGGCAAGAGCCCACAGGGAGAGGATTCCAGGAGCTGCCTTTGTCCCTGAGCTCCTTGGCATTTGTTTCCTTCCTGGAAACAAGGAGCTGCTCCATGAATCCCGGCCCAGCTCCTCTGGCTTTCATGGTACCTAAAATCCTACAGAGATTTCCATCCTGGGAATGGGGTGAAAGGGCCGTGGAGCCACCCAGGGAGGGGTGTTAGAGGTGGTAGTGTTCAAATATGGAATTTTGGAGAAGAAAATGCTCGATCCCGAGCACCAGGACAAACTGGCTGGGAAGGGGAAGGCAGGAGGAACTTCTGAGTGTGACCATGGAATACAGAGGAAGGATATGGAAGAATAAACAGTGCAGAAAATGGAATTTAAAAAAAGATAAAAAACTCTCCAAACCAAGGGAAAATACCCCCAATGACCTTTATTAGGGCAAAGTGAAATAAGGTCAGAACTGGTAGGAAAGATCCTTTGGGAAACAAGCTCAAATGGAAAAAAAATGAGTTGAGGGAAGTGGGCAGCTCTTTAAAAATGCTGTTAAGGGCACAGGTACAACCCATCCCAGGGCAGAGGAGCTACCAGAAGGGTGGGGAGGGACCATGGGGGTTAAATCAAGAGCTCTTTATCGACTTGGAGTAAAAAGGGATTGTACAGGGAGCAAAAAGTGGATCAGCTGTGTGAGAAATGGAGTGTGGAGAGTGCTGCAGGCACGGGGGGAAAAGGGAAAAGCAGGGAGGAGGGTCAGGGAAGGGCTCAGTGGGGCAGCTGCATTGGAGGAGACATGGAAAACTTGGGGGTCACGACTGGGAAAGGCACAGGGGGACTCAGGTGGGGCCTTCAGAGAGGGATGAAGGGCTGAGGGTCCTTTTCCTACTGGAAACACCACCAGGAACACAGCCCAGAGGGAACAGGGACACAGCCCAGAGGGAACAGGGATACACCCAGAGGGAAGAGTTGGGCTGGAAGAGGGAAAGGATTTTAATGAAGTGTCTGCATAAGGGAAGTATTGTTGGATCAGTCTGGTTTGATGGAATCACTGAATTGTAAGGGTTGGAAAAGCCCTCTGAGATCCTGGAGTCCAACCATCCCCAGCACTGCCAGTTCCACCACTGACCCATGTCCTCAAGTGCCACTTCCACAGGGCTTGAAAATCCCTCCAGGGATGGGGACTCCACCCTGTGCCAGGGCTGGACAACTTTTCCAGGGACAAATTCCTCCTCCTGTCCCACCTGAGCCTCCCCTGGCCCAGCTGGAGGCCGTTCCCTCTCCTCCTGTCCCTTGTTCCCTGGGAGCAGAGCCCGACCCCCCCCGGCTCCCCCCTCCTGTCAGGGGGTTGCAGAGCCAGAAGGTCCCCCCTGAGCCTCCTTTTCTCCAGGCTGAGCCCCCACAGCTCCCTCAGCTGCTCCTGCTGCTCCAGCCCCTTCCCAGCTCCATTCCCTTCCCTGGACACTCCAGCAGAGCCCCTTTTGCTCTCCCTGCTCTCTCCAGGTGACCATGAGCAGGTCCCTGGGCTCAGGATGGGAGGGGGTGGCTCACTGGAGATTAATTAGCAAGGTCAGGGATGAAATGATGTATGAGGTGACCTTAAATTTTGGAACAGACCCCAAACAGGCCTCAGAAATCAGGACTGTGCTCTGAAGGTGATGTCAGTGGAGCTGTCCCCTTTTAGGGCTCCTGGGTTTCTATTAATTTAACAGAACAGAGGTAAATATAACTCAGTGTGTAGCCTTGAGCTTTCCATTTTCCTGTCCTTAATTCAGCTTCAGCAGAGAAAAATTATATTCTGAAAGGTCAGTGCTTGTGTTTTTACTGTAAACCAAAGATACCTTCCTGGAAAAGCATCAGAGCTGGAGTTGTCAGGGAAATTATGGAAATTATTGACAGAAGCTCTTTAGGAATCTCAGAATCATTAAAGTGGGAGAAGACCTTTAATATTATCAAGTCCAACCATCAATGTTCACTCTCCTCACAGACCCCAGTGTTCATATTCACCAAAAGTGAAGCAAATGGTGCAGCACTGACAGACAATCCCGTGCCTTGGTGGGCACGAAACTGCAGCAGGAATTCCTGAATTCCTGGCTCCTGGCCAGGCCAGAGCTGCAGGGTTTGTGTGGGGGAAAAAAAAAGGGATTATTCCATCCCTTTGCTAAGTACAGGCTCTGCTGGGAGCTCCTCCAGCAGTCAGGTGAAACCCAGCCCTGGAAGTGTCCAAGGCCAGGTTGGACGGGGCTTGGAGCAACCTGGGCTGGTGGAAGGTGTCCCTGCCCAGGGCAGGGGGTGGAATAAGATGATTTTTAAGGTCCCTTCCAACCCAAACCATTCCAGGACTCTGTGATCTCCATGCAAAGGCCTGAGAAGTCCAGATTTCCATGCACATCCAGATATTTGTTGGGGTTATTGATGTGCTGATGGCCTGATGGTCTGGCAGATGTTTGGTTTGCAGGGGTAAAGATGAACCCACTTGGGTCTAGGATCCCTCTTCTCAGCCTTAACCCAACTGTTTCCCCTTGGAAACAGGATGGTCTTTTCCTCTGGAGAGGAAATGTAGAGGGGAGACCTGGAGAGCTCCACTGGGACACCTCAGGAAATGGATGGATGGATTTTTCAGCTGTCGTTTTTCTGGATGGAATTTTCCCTGTTTCTGTGTTGGTTGACCTTGGCTGGCCCACCCAGCTGCTCCATCACCCCCCTCCTCAGCTGGGTAGGGGAGAGAAAGCACAACAAAGGGTTTGTGGGTTGAGAGAACCAAACCCACCCCCAAAACCTTGCCCTGGAACCCCAAACCCTGCCCTTGGGCTCAGCCTGTGGGGTTTGCTCCCGGTGCCTCAGCCATCAGTTATGAACCCCAAAGCTTTGCCTGTGCCCAGGTGACCTGTCACAGGGCCTGGAAAATCATGGAATCATTCAGGTTGGAAAAGCCCTCTGAGATCATTGAGTCCAACCATCCCCCAGCTCTGCCAAGGCCACCACTGCCCCGTGTCCCCAAGTGCCACATCCACAGGGCTTTGAAACCCCTCCAGGGGTGGGGACTCCACCTCTTCCTTGACCAGCCTGTTCCTGCCATGCCAGGAGGGTGTTCAGCTGGATGAGCAAAGAGGGGCTGAATTAAACCCTCAGTCTTGCTCCTCTCACCCTTTGGTGTCCCAGAGGGGTCGTGTGGCCTCGTTGGTGGGGGTTGGGAAGAAGAGACTTTGGTCACTTGTGTCTCCCGTGCTCCTGAGCTTTGGGGCAGAGCAATAACTTGTATTTTCCAGCTCCAGAGCTGGGTGAGCTCTGTCCAGAGCAGGAAGGCACATGGAGCCTGTTTTTACAGAATCATGGAAGATCCTGAGTGGGAAGGACCCTCAGGGTTCATCCAGTCTCACCATTGGCCCTGCACAGACACCCCAACGATCCCCCCTGTCCCATCTCCAGGTATGAATCTCTTTTCTCTCAGATTTTGATGTTTCTCTTCTGGTCCTTTCAGCTGCACCAGTGCACCTTCCACAATAGTCCTCATGTCATGGAATCACAGAAAACCCTGAGGTGAAGGGACTAAAGGGACCATCCAGTCCAACTCCTGGCCCTGCCCAGGACACCTCAACAATCCCCCCCGTCCCTCAGAGCGTTGTCCAAACCCTCCTGGAGCTCTGGCAGCCTTGGGGCCGTGCCCACTGCCCTGGGGAGCCTGGGCAGTGCCAACCACCCTCTGGGGGAAGAGCCTTGTCCTGATATTTCTGTTCCTTGGTGGTTCCCTTTCATTTCTGTGATACAAGCATCCCACACACGCAGCTCCAGCATCTTCCAGCTGTGGCAGCGAGGTGTTCTGTCCCCTGTAAATCCTCTTTTTGTGCCCCAAGAGCAGCTCTGAGATGCTGAAGAGCCCTGCAGAGGGAGGAAACACCTCCTAAGCGAGCGGGTGCCTCGCTTTTCAGTCGCGCCCGCGTGAACATTTATGATTTCATTTCACAAAGGCGTTGCAGTGAGCTGTGCCTTTACAAATAGCAAATTAAATCAGCTGGTGATGTAAACCTGCAGAGGAGAACAGGCAGCTGTAATGGTTCTTTATTGCTTTTTTCATCTGCTGTTGCATTTTGCCATCGTCTGGTGCTTAGTGAAGTGTATGATTTATTCATAGGAGACGCTGTCGCAGCCAAAGGCTTGTACAATAAACCACTGACAAGGCCTGTGCCAAAAGCCATTAGGAAGAGAGAACAATAATGCAGACACAAAGTATTTACAGACCAAGTTGTCTTTAATTTAAAATCCTTTACTAGGGCTTGATGATAATTGCATCACATTTCCAATCAGCCGGTGCTGACAGGC